GAGGAATAAGGAAAGACTAAGCTATGTAGGCTCGAAAGTACAGATGTATATACCAGTTGTTAAAAACATTGTACATTCTCAATATTGCTACAGTACCTCCCTCTATTTTTGTGTGTTCTTATGGATGCATTTTAAATGATGACCACATATACGCATATACAGTAAATAGGTTTTGTGGTTGGAGTGAGTAACCAGGGGTATGTGTGCTGGCAGAGTAGTGTAGTTAATATTGAGTTTTACGAGTGAGCAGTAGTATTAATAGTGTATCTTATATTGGATTCCATATGATTTGTTGCTTGCTGTTTCATTTTGTAGATGAAAGAACCTGGGTGGAGATTATTATTATTGTATAGAGAGCTACATATATATACAGTATGTCCATATATTCAGTTAATGTTCCCCACAGCAGTACTCTCTGGACGACCGAAAATAACCTCTGAGGCGACCAATAATTTCTTTTTCTCTTATTTTTATTTTTATCAGGGACAAGAATAAACCACCATACCCCCTTCTAAACCGTGCCTGTTATATATTTGGTAGAAGGAGGGGTGGGGTGAATGTGTATTGAATAATGATACTGTATACAACGATATTCCCTGCTGTTGGATCATTATTTTTTCCTTATTTTCAGCAGCTTAGTTTGGATATCGACTTACTAAAATGTTAATTAATTATATCTTCCTTGTAAGGTGTACATCACCCTGAAAATAAAAAGAAAGCACAATCTTTCTTTCACTTCTTGTACTCTACTAACCAATCCGAGCCTCTGCTATCAAATGAATTCCTTCGCATACAGCGTAGCATTATATGCGGCGATGTATGCAAAATAGGCTCAAGATTGGACTTCACCCATCACCTTGATTTTCATTGGTCGTTCAATTTCTAATTTCCCACCAAAAGATTTTCCCCTTAAAATCTATGCGGACCGATAGGTAATCACTCACTGTGCTGTAATTGGTTGTGTACGAACTCGTATAAGTGTAGGCGGATCGATTTAGGCTAAGCCAAAATTTGTCCAGGCCGGACCAATATTATCCAAGGAGGGCTGATTTTGGCCGGCCAAAATCAGTCCCCGGGACAAATTTTAGCTGCTAAAATCGGTCCCCCGGACCGACTTTAGCCCGGACCAATTCTGGCGTGACAGGCCCTAACTAAATCTATTTTTTGAAAATATCGTGCACCCATGCAGGGAGGATGTGAAATTATGGACATGTGGGATTGGGTACCTATCAGGGATGGTGATATTATTCAGTGATCTGTAATCGCCACAAGGCCTCCAATCTCCAGACGTACCCTTAGGTACCATATGAAGGGGCGACGACCAGCTACTATTGGACTGACGAACGATGACTAATTGGAGCATATGCTCAAACTTTGCACGAGCAATTTTCAATTTGCCAGGGGCAAAGCGGCGTGGCCTAGAATACACAGGAGGAGAAGTAGTGCATATGCGATGGGTAACGTCATGTTTAATAGCTATATCCTTAAATCGCGGGCTGGTGAGGGCAGAAAACTCGCATAAAATACTATGAAGTGGCGAAAGCAATTCGGGCTTCGCAAAAACATGACAAAGAGAGCGAAAAGGAGATGACATACCAAACACTCAAATGCGTGGTACCATCCCGAATTTTGCGTTGCCTAAGATCAACAATGAGG